CACTTACCATTTTTGGTAGGTTTGTGGACTTCTTAGAGGGACTTTTGGGTAATCAAACCAAAGGAAGTTGGAGGCAATAACAGGTCTGTGATGCCCTTAGATGTTCTGGGCCGCACGCGCGCTACACTGATGCGTTCAACGAGTATACAACCTTGATCGATAGGTCTGGGTAATCTTGTGAATGCGCATCGTGCTAGGGATAGACTGTTGCAATTTTCAGTCTTGAACGAGGAATTCCTAGTAAACGCAAGTCATCAGCTTGCATTGATTACGTCCCTGCCCTTTGTACACACCGCCCGTCGCACCTACCGATTGAATGACTCGGTGAAAAATTGGGACCGTGAGTCTGTTTGCTTTATTGCGAGTGGATTGATGGGAACTTTTTTAAACCTCGCCATTTAGAGGAAGGTGAAGTCGTAACAAGGTTTCCGTAGGTGAACCTGCGGAAGGATCATTACCACACCTAAAAACTTTCCACGTGAACCGTTTCAACCCAATAGTTGGGGGTCTTACTTGGCGGCGGCTGCTGGCTTTATTGCTGGCGGCTACTGCTGGGCGAGCCCTATCAAAAGGCGAGCGTTTGGACTTCGGTCTGAGCTAGTAGCTTTTTTATTTTAAACCCTTTACTTAATACTGATTATACTGTGGGGGACGAAAGTCTCTGCTTTTAACTAGATAGCAACTTTCAGCAGTGGATGTCTAGGCTCGCACATCGATGAAGAACGCTGCGAACTGCGATACGTAATGCGAATTGCAGGATTCAGTGAGTCATCGAAATTTTGAACGCATATTGCACTTCCGGGTTAGTCCTGGAAGTATGCCTGTATCAGTGTCCGTACAACAAACTTGGCTTTCTTCCTTCCGTGTAGTCGGTGGAGGAGATGCCAGATGTGAAGTGTCTTGCGGTTGGTTTTCGGACCGACTGCGAGTCCTTTTAAATGTACTAAACTGTACTTCTCTTTGCTCCAAAAGTGGTGGCATTGCTGGTTGTGGACGCTGCTATTGTAGCGAGTTGGCGACCGGTTTGTCTGCTGCGGCGTTAATGGAGAAATGCTCGATTCGTGGTATGGTTGGCTTCGGCTGAACAATGCGCTTATTGGGTGATTTTCCTGCTGTGGCGTGATGGACTGGTGAACCATGGCTCTTTAGCTTGGCATTTGAATCGGCTTTGCTGTTGCGAAGTAGAGTGGCGGCTTCGGCTGCCGAGGGTCGATCCATTTGGGAAATGTTGTGTACTTCGGTATGCATCTCAATTGGACCTGATATCAGGCAAGATTACCCGCTGAACTTAAGCATATTAATAAGCGGAGGAAAAGAAACTAACAAGGATTCCCCTAGTAACGGCGAGTGAAGCGGGAAGAGCTCAAGCTTAAAATCTCCGTGCAAGTTTTGCGCGGCGAATTGTAGTCTATAGAGGCGTGATCAGTGTGGGCGCTTGGGGCAAGTTCCTTGGAAGAGGACAGCATGGAGGGTGATACTCCCGTTCATCCCTGAGTTGCTCGTGCGTACGATCCGTTTTCTTTGAGTCGCGTTGTTTGGGAATGCAGCGCAAAGTAGGTGGTAAATTCCATCTAAAGCTAAATATTGGTGCGAGACCGATAGCGAACAAGTACCGTGAGGGAAAGATGAAAAGAACTTTGAAAAGAGAGTTAAAGAGTACCTGAAACTGCTGAAAGGGAACCGAATCGTTTCCAGTGTCTATAATCCGTGGTATATTTCATTGGCGAGTGTGTGCGTGCGTGTGCTGTGGCAGCGGCTTTTTTGGCTGCGCTCGGCGTGTGTGCTGTGTGTGCTTGCTGGTGCCCTGTGCTGCGGTGGGACGTCAAGGTCAGTTCGTATGCTGCGGGAAATGGCCGCCGAGGAGGTAGGGCTTACGCTTGCGTTTGTCTGTTATATCTTGGTGGACGAGTAGTCGCGGTTGGGACTGAGGTGCCTACAACGTGTTTTTGAGTGGGCCTGTGTCTCTGTGTGCGCCGTGTGCGGATAGCTTGCTATGCGTGTGTGGTTGTGTGTGGATTGATGTGGGTTTTAACTTGTTGCCGTTCGGGACGTTGACGAAATGGAGCGATTTGACCCGTCTTGAAACACGGACCAAGGAGTCTAACATGTTTCTTACGAAGCAACCGAGAACCTTAATCTCTGATGACGCGAAGATGCACTTGTCGATGTTGACGTAAAGCCTGCTCGCTCGCATCACGTCCAACACTCGACGGAGGTGCCCAGATGCACCTCCATGGCCGTCTTGCGTCCCTCGGCACGGCTATGGACGAATATGTCGTCGAAGTACGTCTGTACGAAGGCGTGCAGTGGCCTGAACAATT